AAAAATTACATAAATCTACACAAAACACTTAATTGTAACTTGTTATAATTAATTTACATAAGAATTAGCTATTTAGTTGTTAGAATTAATTGCTAAAGTTATTAAAACACACTTAATTTTTGTTTTGTTTTCAATAAATAATTTAAGAAGACAAATGTCAAAAAGTTAGATGACACATGGCAGCCTCTCATGGCTTGAATTTTGAGAAACCTTACTATATTATATAAGATACATGATATGTTCTGTCCAGATTGAATATTGGGTCTGATAACTTTTGGATATCCAAAAATTTAAATAGATACTAGATTTTTGATCCGAATCAAACGCGGGATTAAAATATTTAAAAATAAAAAATCATATTTCCTCATAATATACGGGAGAAATAAGTAACAACAAATATCAAATGATATATCCCTCATATAGATAAATATATTTTATCTTACAAAATTTAATTTGCATGACACTTACATTGAATGTAAGCATTTTTATGTAAATCATATATGTTTGAGATTATAAGTTATTTCAAACTTATTTGAGCTCATCAAACCCAAAAATTTATTCAGTTAGTATGTAAATCTTCTTAAAAAAAAGTCAAAAAAATAATAAAAAGTAAAAATGATGATTTTTGAAATTCAAGCATTAATATTTGATTTGTAAAGTTGTATGTTTATAACAAAAACACAATTTAATTAGAGTAATATGGATACAATTAAACGATATAAAAAAATGTACGATCAATAACATATGGTATCCAAATGGGCATAAATAATTTTTTTTATAAGGTAATTAACATCGATAAATAATTCATCGTTAAAACATTACGTTATATAACGTTTAAAATGTTATATTTTAGTTAGATTTAAATTAGTAATAAATGTATTTGTGAGTTAATGTAAATATGTAGAGTTTTTCAACATGTAATATAGAATTAATTAGAATGTTTTGATTGGTTAATTTAATTGATGTGTCCCTTAAAATTCTCATTGGGTGACACATATGATTTTTTCACTTAGTGTCTCCTCAATTAATATATAGAGGATATGATACTTTTAGATATCCTCTCGATATTCACTCGGCTCCGTTAAAATTGTTTTAAAACTCAAAATATTAGAAAATTAGATATACAAGTGGGTAAAGTAAGTTAAAATGTTGTCTTCAAAATAAGT